ACTTGGAGCAACCTGGTCTAGTGGAAGGTGTCCCTGTCCATGGCAGGGGGTTGGAACTGGATGAGCTTTAAGGTCCCTTCCAACCCAAACCGTCTGTGATTCTGTAACTGGCTAATATGGTAATGCAATTACCATATTAATAGGGTATCTACGGGCAATGCTCTAAATCTCTTTCTCACCAGAGTACTTACCTGAACCGTATCCAGGTATTTGCCCTTTGGTCTGTAAATCTGAGAGACCCACATTCAAAGGATTGGGTACCATGCTGTCTAAATGTGGCTTAGGCCCAACAGGGTGAGATGGTGAATGCTTCATGCTAGGCTGCCTCTGCTGCTGCTGCTGGAGGGCACTGACCATACGAGCAATCTGCAAATAAAAGAAATGGGAATGATACACCCTATACTGTAACAACAGAATGGCAGTAAACATGAAGAAACAGTGACTTGAAAGGGATCCAAAGGACCCTGCTCTCTGAAAAGTGCAATCTGAAGAGAGCAGATGACATTACTAAAGCCTGTGCTGTCTTTGTTGCAGAATGCATTTTCCCAGCACACTTCATACTTCATATGATCGACAAAACCAGTGCCACACCTGTTGCTCCTGCTGTTGCCGCACAGCTTGAGATAACTTCCTCTGGCTCTGTAACAGTTGCTGCTGCTGCTGCTGCTGAAGGAGGAGCTGACATGCCTACAAGGTAAGTGGGAGTGGGAAGAGTGAAAATACAGAGCGCATCAAGTGATACGTAAGTGCCAGGAGCTAGTCACTAGCAATGTGCTTTGCTCAGAACTTAGGTAAACTGTTTCTCATTCCACAGAGTCAAATACAACTATAACGAATGCATCAGAAGAACACCATTTCTTTCACTTGTTTCTAATTTAATATCATACAACAATATTACTAGTACCTGTTTTATTACCATCACTCTGACTAGAAGTCTGAAGAAAACTTCAGTAAAAATCAACAAACAACTGCTTTTTGTACAAAGACACAGCTTAGAAACATTACCAACTCACTGAAACGTTCATAATAGTTACACAGGCCTGTTTAGTTTATCTGCTGCCCTCTAACAGGGCTGTATTTTTTTGCACAACAAACAGCGGATACTTGTATAAAAGTAATACAAGGGAGCACCTCTCCTCCAGAATCAGAACAAACCAGAATCAGAACAAACAAAGCAAACTCTTTCAGCAGACAATCTGTCCATCTCACAAGATTAACAGTTACTTACTAATTGAAACTGGGGAATCTGTGGAAGCTGGCTCAGCATGGCAATCTGTTGTGGAGAAAGCTGGGGGCCCATATTGAAAAGACCAGGATTCAAGCCACTATTGGGAAACTGTTTGAGCATGGAGGCCGAAACCTGCATGGAAACCAATTACATATCATCAAGAAATGCACTGCTATAAGAAAAGATGATGAAATATTTCTATAAAGGAATAGATACGACACCAGTCTTAAATGGTGTTCTGGGAAAGACATTACAGATTTATTAACAGATAACATTTAAACATGCACAATCTATGACTTGAGCAGAGTGAATATCTCACTTGATTGACAATATACAGTATTACATGTGCAGATGCAGACAGACACACAAAGGTTCCTCCCCCAACCAGTCGGTTGCTAAAGACTTGCACTAAATTAACTAGTAATCACAGTACCGCATTATCACTTTAAGAACGTACTGCTTGACAAAGGAAATGAAAGGCATTCAGGCAGTCACCAGAGCAAAGAAACAGTGCCTCACAGAAAGAGTTAATCTCTTTGTATGCTGAATAAGCTATAGTAAAAGACAGGAGTAGGTGGAGAAGAATCCCCGCTTTCTCCCTGCATTATTTCAGAGTTACACAAATAGAACTGAAAAGAATCTCCAAAAGCCTTCACCAAGTTGAAAGTAAAAGGTAAACTTTTGCATTTGGAGATCTTGAGGTCTTGGAGCTCTGCAATGTAAGTGCAACATACAGTACTTTGCAAGGCCTCTCTTTTCAGGGGGGCAAGAAGCACAGGACAAGACTGCTTGAAAAAAACTAAGCAACTTGTCAAATGTCAGAAAAACTTTCAGCTTTCACTTTCTTTGTTGTTTTTTAAAATAGTTTGCAAAAACCTATGTAAAACAGAGTATTCCTGAATCTACTTTGAGGTTTAAAAATACTGATAGCGAGCATTTACCATCAACTGCCTTGGAACAAGAAGGCTAATCCTTCTGCACTGAGTTTTAAGCACTTTCAACTATGAATATTACTTATCTAAGTTTGTCATTTCTTAACGTCTAGTCAAGATTAAGACAGATGTGTAAAGTAACCTCGATGATGTGGTCTGAAAGCTGTAGCTCTACTTTTACAAGTAAGCAGTTACTATAAATTCCTTACCTGGGGAGAAAGAAATTGGGGAGGCACTTGCGCCCGGATATTGGGGGAAGGATTTAGTGGCTGCACTGGTGTGTGCATGCCCCTCGATTGTGCTGTGCTGTTTCCAAACAAACCATGATTGCCACCCTACAAAATTAAAGCAGTAGTGAGAAGATGAATCTTTCAGGATAATGGATTTCTACGCTATTAACTACATATCAACAACAATGAGGCAAGTACTGACTTCAACAGAGTACCCTTAGAATTACTGAGATGTTTGCCCTACATCACTAATATTCTAACTGGGTTAAAACTGCTGCAATACTTTTTTGATATGCAGGCTCTTTCTCCTCTACATTTAAGAGTCATGTTTATCCACTTATTTCAAAGCACATGACAAAGCTAATGTTTTATATTTTGCACTTTACATGTTGGGAAATGGAAACTTGGGAGTACAAACAACACACTCAAAAAACCATTCACTGCCTTAACAGTATGTCAAGACTGTGTCAGCAAGAATTGAGGGCCATCATTTTAGGTAAGTCGGCTATTTTTTATGAGTAGGTTGTTGAGGTATCCCTCACAAGCCTGTTACCTCCTCTGAAAGCCTTTTACTAAGTGAAATTAGAATTCTAAAATTTTATTACATATTTTCCTTCCGATGTGAAAATGTCAGCATTCTGAACTGGGATGTTTTTCTTTTCCTTTTTTCCCCACTAAGTTGAAGAGGGGAAAAATCTTCACGTGAGAAGAAGTGTTTGTTTGGTTGTTTTCTTTCTCCCGGTGATTTATTTTCTAACCGAAGAATACTTGCTGTTTAAGGGTTTTTTAAGGAAAAGAATTTACTGTTTTATAAGCAACTTCTGTAATAAACCCTACTGCATGAAAAAGACCAAAGAATATTCATCATTCTGCTTCATTACTTCAGCCTCTGAGCAGATTGCCTTTATTGTAACATCTTTCAACAAAAGCCACAGGAAATGTTACGGACTGTCTCCTACACTAACAGCTGCATGCTGTTGCTTCTAAAAGCAGAAGCTTGTATTCCAAAAGGTCCTTACGTGCCATGATTCTGTCCTTTCATTTCCAAGACCCTCAGCACTTCTCATCTTCTGCTGTACATGAGGATGTCTATGATCCTCGGATACCTGGGGTTCTTAACAGGACATTTTCCATTCCTCAGCCATCATTCTCTGTTCTCCCTCTCCATGCCAGCACTGCTGTACCCAACGTAAATACATCATTCTTCTAAACTGAGATTGTGCAGGCCTTCTCCAAAACCTTTCCCTCCCTTGTGTACCAAGGTTTCATTAACTTTGCCTCCCTTCTACCATAATACTGTGCATTCTCCACTATCTTTTTGCTAAAACTGAAGTCTAATCCAGCTTCTACACTGACAGCATTATGACTTGCCTCATTCACCTGCAATATGTTTCACTTCCTTAAGGTATCTTCCCTTTCAGAAACAACTGAAGACATCACGCTAAGTAGGAGGATAAACAAAAAAACCCAAGAGACAGAAGTTTTTATTCTGGAAAGAAATGACTGGTGTCAACTACGCATTAAAATATTTGAGAGGCTTGAAGCTGCAGCTACACTTTCAGCCCTCTCTAAGACTCAACAGAGTTCTGCACACCAAATCTAAGAACATCCCTGCAAAATTTGGACTTAATCTGATGTTCAACACTGATTGTGTCACATAGAAACAGAAAGACAACACAAAGAAACACCATCATGTTAGGCATGTGACTACATAAGCTAGTCCAGCTGCAATACTAAGGTTCTAATCTGTCATTTCCTAGTATTCCTGCAACATCTTCTTCTGGCATAATGCAAAACACAATAGCCAGAAATTCTTCCAAACTGCAGTTAACCACTTCATTTCTTCCCTGCTAATCCCCTGTATAAAGAACAAAAATATTGCTACTTCAAGAGTTTTTAAAGGCTGCTAAATCAAGTCTTTCCTCAGGCTGCGAGGAAGGGAGAAGGGAACAGGCACAATGCAAAATGACTGCATTTTTTAAAGGCACATTTCTACATACAAGGTCATTGGACGGAGTCTGGAAAAATTCAGTGTTGAGGACAAATCAACAGCCTCTAACTGGGTTTTAAAACAGCAATTAAAATATGAAGGTTGCCACTAACTTCATGACTTCTGAAAAGCACATCTGTCTGCTGCTGCACTGCGATTCAGGAAGTAAGAGGCCAACAAAACCAGATACAATACATTTTGATAATAGGAACCAAAGTGGATTGATTCTCAGTGGCCTGATATAGCTGAAATTTCCATTAACAATATTAATTTATTTAGTAGGAAAACAAATGCAAGCAACCAACTAACCAGGATTAAGCCCAGGTTGCAGCCTTATAACAATGCATCTTATAAGGTGGCCTGCTTACTTGTCTAGCAGCGAAGTTTTGGGGACTGAGCCCTGAGCCGATTGCCCCAAGGCCGACGTTGGATAGTGTGGAACCAGAGGGAGACAGCTTGTAGCTGGGAGAAGGGGAGAAGGGAGAGCAGGGAGCCTCATCCCCAAGGCACCCATCTTGATTGGAGAAAGGCAAAGTCAGCTGAAGCAGCAGTTAGCCAACAGCAGGAGTTGGTTAGTGAAGCAACAGAACACAAGAGGAGAGAAAGAGGGACGGTGAGTGACTAGGAAGAAGCAAAGTTAATTTGTAATAGCAATTACAAGGACAAAACTTCCAACTCGAATGATCACTTGACAATTAAGTTTTTGGTCTGAGGAGATAATCAATAAATTCCTAGAGGTTTATTTTTAAAAATACTTTTTCAACTCTCGTGAAGTTAATTTCTGACAGTGGCTATTACCACTACAGAAATAAACACATCTTGAATGAATTCCTAATGTTAGCACACACCTATGAACATAATGTTAGAACTGCATAAGCTCTGCTAGTGGTATTTCATTTATTAGGCCACCAGAGGGAGTTGACAAAACTGGGTTTTGGCCTGTTCTACCAAAATGGAGTCATTAAAAAACTTCATTGACAGTAACACTCCTTCAGAATTTTTAAACCAAATTTCTTTTCCATTTTACATGTGATAAAATGTATTACAAAATCCCTAAAGCATTCTGAATGTATTGGGCACTCTCCAGTTCATAATGCGAAGCAATTAATGTTTGATAGTAACAGTGAAAGTGTCTATTTAAAGTAAGCAGGAATATGAAAGAAACACTACCACCATAACATACAACAGATGTCACAGAGAAACAGATGTCATACAGAAGCTTACAGTACACGGACATACAGCGTAAGGGGTTGTGGAATTTAGAAAGGGTGTTTCCAATAAACGACAGACATGAAAGCAGAAAAAATTTGGACGACTGTGATTACTTATGTTTAGTTACATCTAAAACAACTTTTTACTGTAGATGATTGCAGTTGGTAGCCAAAAGAATCATTGTGATGAAACCTGTAATGAATTTCCACTGCTACCAGTAGCTTACCCTTCCAAGAAAAGCAAATGAATTTCTTTCTGTCCATATTAAGAGCAGTCTGTTCTAGAATAAAAAGCCTCATGCTCCCTAGATAACTCAGTTTGTCTATGCATATCCAACAACTCTGTTTTATATATGTGTTCATTCTATAAACATAACTCCCCTGCACCTTTTATTACTGAGTTCATGCAAGGTTACTGAATTTTTTTAGCATTTCCAGGGAGTAGGGTAAAAACTTGGACCTCACAGAGGTTCATATTTATTCATCTAAAGGTGTTTTTCTCACCTTCTCAAAATAAGGCCCACTATCTGTGGTTCCCATGTCTTTGGAATTAGATGGACGGAACCCAGATCGATCCTTTCTCATCATGTCATTAAAATCCCCGAGATTCATGGTTCGTTTATCCACTTCAAACTTCTTATCTGGGAGACCACCTGTGAAAAAAACCCAAATGAAAATGAAATTAGTGCCAATAATCTCTATCATTATCATTAATCACGTTTTACGACAGTAAGTTCACAGCCAAAGAAAGTATCATTAATATTATGGTATAAATTAAATCTTATAATTTAGCATAGCTACAGTTGCTATTAAAAGTGTTGAAAAATCAAAGTTGGCAGTTTCATTTTTAAGACTGAACAAGCCAATTTAGAGTTTAATGTGAAGTATTTCTCACAACTTAGGTACAGATATAAACACATGCATTTCCACAGCAGCCTAGTTCAACTGATGATATTCATTTATACATCATTTTCAATGTCTTCTGAAATTCACACTGTTATTTATTGGTATTCAGTATCTATAGAGATACCACTATTTAAGTTCTGTACTTTGCTTTTACTGCATTTGGCATCAAGAAGTATTTTTCAAACTGCAAAACCACGCACATAATTTAATCTCAACACTTCTACAGTCATGTGAAGCTAACTCTTGAACGCCACAGATCGTCTGGTATAATGCTAACTTCCAGACAGGCAACCAATCTCCCTCAGCCTGTATACAATGATTACAAAACCAGTAACAGAGATACTTTTCAAACATCCCCTACAGTCTCCTGCCATTATTTAATGAGTAATCCAGTGCAGCATGAGGAAGAGATGTTAGTAACAGATGATCAAACTACAATACACACTGAACAAGGCATCATCCTTCTCTTTTAGTTTATCATCAGCCAAATGCTTACTGAAGGAAGCTTTCTACCTTGCACACTAAACTGCTACCAAGGAACCGTTTTGGGGGTCATATTTGGCACCTGCAAGGTATCAGATACATATAGTTATGTTGAAGTAGATGGAAAACATCTTTGCTTTAAAATATGAGCAATGTGACAGAAATGAGCTTTACTGGTATTTTTAGGTTTAAGTAATTCCACCTAGTAGCACAGACGGCCTCTCCAAGATTAGTTTAAAAAGCCTGTCACCACAGTTAACCAAAATCTATGACTCTTCCAAAGGACGGATGATAGATATCCTACCCTACAACTGACAAAACACAGAGTATCAAACAGAGCAGACAGCTAATCACTCCAATACCTTCAAAATGCTTAACTGCTCCTCAAAAAAGCTTCTCAAAGCCAGCATATTTTCTTAATGTTCAATCACAACCTATTAATATTCGTAGATATGTTATTGCCAAGAACATGTGAAATCAACCACTAATTACATGGGGGTTTCCTGCTGGCATAGCTTTCAAAGTTGATCCAGCGTCATCCTCAGAGATGCCTACAACATCATTTATCACAAAAACACTTGACAAATCTTGGCTTGTAACTGGAGTCATACTGACCCGGATGAGCTCATAGAATCATAGAATAGTTAGGG